TACTCAATCTTCATCCCAATCCCACACTCAATCTTCATCCCAATCCCACACTCAATCTTCATCCCAATCCCACACTCAATCTTCATCCCAATCCCACATTCAATCTTCATCCCAATCCCCCACCCAATCTTCATCCCAATCCCACACTCAATCTTCATCCCAATCCCACATTCAATCTTCATCCCAATCCCCCACCCAATCTTCATCCCAATCCCACACTCAATCTTCATCCCAATCCCACACTCAACTTTTATTCCAATCCCACCAATCTTCGCCCCAATCCCATTCAATCTTCTTCATCCCAATCCCACACTCAATCTTCATCCCAATCCCCACTCAATCTTCATCCGAATCCCCCACCAACTTTTATTCCAATCCCCACTCAATCTTCGCCCCAATCCCCCATTCAATCTTCATCCCAATCCCCACTCAATCTTCATCCCAACCCCACTCAATCTTCATCCCTCTTCGTTCTCAGTCGTGTAAACTCGACCACTGACACTGACACCAGAACCCACCAGTATCAGCGATGAAGCAGATAAGAGCAAAGTAAAGCTAAACAAGCACCGGCCACGTGGGAACAAAGGCCTATCCTCCCCCCCCCACCCTCTTCCCCAGCGCCCCTCCCTGAAAGATGTGCCATTATCGTTCATCGTTATCCTGAGGAGTTATCATACATCTACACCCCCAGCTTGTAAACCTCTTTCTTTTTTTTTTCCTAGGATGTTAAACGAGGGGAGGTGCACGTCACCACACACACACACACACACTATGACTCACCCCCCTGACCCATCACCATACAGTAGTCCCCGTACCCAACATGCCGTGTTACACTGTATGAGAGGAGGAATGTGAATCTGTGTGTTGTTAACGCTATATATATATAGTCAGAAGGAAAGACGTAGAACATTAGGGATAAACTTGCAAGTGATTCAGTGTTTATATGTCGTGATCTGCAAGTTGTATGTAGCTAACCTGACAGTGTGAGGGTATAAAGAAAACTTGCACGTTTTATGTGGGAGGAAAAACTTGATCCGAATGTGAGGTAGATAAGGCATATGTAAGAAGATGCTTGTGTCCATTTTCCGACAGAGCACTGACTCAAGACACTGCAGGGGGAGAGAGCTGAGTGTCTTAACTTGATGTAATGAGGGGAGGAGGGATCACTGACCACTAATGTAATGGTACTGTTGTGTCATGGAAGGGAAGGTACTGTACTGAGCGGCCGGTACTGAAGAGGGGAGGAACCAGGAGCGTTATTTTCATTTTTCCTTGAAGGGGGCAAAGCTAGCATATGGATCCTGTCTATGTATTTGTATATTAATTATGGGTCACTTGGAACCTCCCTGCTCCCGGTAAGCTTGGGTAGGGGAAAATTGGTGCCCCTGGGAGGAAGGGTGGAGGTGAGTACCGAGTTATTTATAAGATGTGGTTTTTGTGTCTCTTTGCCAAGGAACGTTACCAGTAGTGTGATGTGGGGATGGACATTACATTTGTGAAGTGTGAATTGTTGTTGAAGCAGAAACTTATAACAAAGATGTTTTAAATGTATTGAAGGGAAAGTTTTAGAGCAAAAAAATAAACGCCCGTTAGTTTCATCAGTTGGGACAATTTTTTCAAACCTTTGTCTGCAAATGTGAAACAGCCAGGCCGCTACACTACACAACCATCTTATCTTCTTGTGCTGACTATACAGGGCTCCATAATGTTCTCCGGGATATTAACAACCAATATCAATGTAGAGGAAATAGAATAAGGAAGCTTATTTAAAACACAATACCTCGAGTCAGTCATTATCAACCTCAACATGTGACTTGTTTGTGGCTCTTCATCATCTCCCTCAACCTTCAGTGTTTATTAATGATTTTGGTCTTTGTTTCGGTGATTCTCAACCACCCACCTGTTCCGATTAACGATGCCTTTTAAGATATTTTCAGGAAGAACAATCGTGTGTATCAAATCAGGTAATTCTAAAGGCCAGGCGAATGGGTCGGTTAATTTCTTGATGACTGTTATTATATGTGGCTGATGGAACATCTCCAGATCTATCGCTGTCGTGTGCGAAGAAAATTGTTGAATATATCAAGTCCGGTTGTCCCAGTAACTGTTTCCTCTAAGAAGGAAACAGGCCTAGAAACCCAAAACCGTCGCCTTGACTTAATGACTGGCGCAAGTGGGTCAAGCTAGAAGCTGTACGAGCACCAGTGTTTAGCTTAACCTTAAGGGAATGTTTACGTTGTAAAAACAGTTCACTGTTCTATCCCTCCCACAGCGCGATATATTGTGTGTTAACATCACAGAACACATGTGTGCAAATCCCGCATAAAAATATTAAGACCCCAATTAGCGTCAGGTTTGCCTTGAGAACGTGTTTCAACATTCTTCAAATTCTGCGCTGTATTTTTTTTCTCACAATAACAATGATATTAAACGTGTCTATCGTAAGCTAAACAAAATGATGGTGGTTACAATGACATTCCTAAGTTGTACTCAAGATTATTCTAGTATCATTATGTGTATTCTCTTACCTATCCTGGCTTGTGTTATAACCTTCCCCACATCTCCATTTATGGGGGAAACTAGACAAGAATCTTTAATAATCCACCTTAGTATCAACATATGTGAGCCAGTTTGATGCGTTCTCTTATCTCCACTTGGGAGAAAAACTTGTCATGCGTGTCTGTGAGAACCCTGGCCCCTGTTAAGGTTGTGGGGGCACCAGATGCCTCCCACTATATAAGGTGTTAGTTGAGCGTGTGTCAAGGCCCGGGCTTCACTGTACAAGGCCACGAGACTCCCGGTACAGTACTTAGACCCAATAGACGTGGGAAACAAGTCTCCGGAAACATGCCCGTAAGCGAAACGTTGTGATAGTGAGAGAGAACACACTAACAAGCTCACACAGCGCCGTTGTAAATTATATAGTTTCTGACACGAGGCACCACTCTGAGACACGGACACAACAGAACTGTAAACGGACACGGGGCCCCTGGCACGGACGTAGAGCCCCGGACACGGACACAACAGTGCTTGACACACTCACGGATGGGTGGCTGTGGTGGTCAGGGCCAATGATGATGACTCATGTATCTCTCCCAGCGACACTTTCACTCTCACCCCCTCCCTTCCTCCTCTGTTTACCTACCACCCACTACCGTCCCCCCCTCCCCACCTCAACTAACCCACCACACTTCCCCCCCTCCCTTCCTCTACTTACTCACCACTCCCCTACCTTCCCTCCCCACCCCCTCTTTACTTGTGGCTACCCCCTCCCCCATATCACCCTCCCCTAACATACCTTGACTCTCGCCTCCCCTTCACCTCTCCTCTCAGTATGTCCTCAAGTGCTACAGTATGAAAGCAAAAAACGTCCAGTAATTATAGATAAACGTCGGCGAACAAACTAGGAGTGACAGACCAACAAACAAGTATACAAGCAGGCAAGCGCACACACACACACCGTTAGTTAAAGTATATGAAAGCAATCCAATTCACTGATTTTGGAAGCAATGGTTGCAAAAACAAATTAAAACTCGGTTACACTCGATCACTAACACCCACACACACCAAACTGTTGCTGTATTCATGTCCTTCGAAACAGACCTGTACTGTATTCTGTAACTTTAAAAACTTCAGCTTCTCGGTACGGTTGTCAAAATCCTTCGTCCGTTGTGTCATATTTTTTTCTCTACATAATTTTGTATAGACAGTTTTTTTTAACCACTGTACAGGAGTCGCTTCTGATACGTACCTGGAGACCTTGACCGCCCCTACACCCCCGGCGGCCATTCACAAGTGCCCTCCATTATTACTCCCAAGTACCTCCTCAGATACAAGGTTCTAACCCCCCCCCCCACCACCGAGTACGAATGGACAGTAATTCATTCATTGAGCTTAACGAGATAACGGTCAGATACTATATTAAAATAAGAACACAGGCACAACCAAAGCCCAAGAATGAATTGAAATACACTGGATTAGGATTCACACAGGTTCGTACGAGGAATAATGATTCTACTTATCTCTGGGGGTGAGGCGCACACACGCACGCACACAATGCCCAAGAGCAGGATAATGGAGGGCGTGCGTGGAATGTACCCGCTACCCGCGCCAAGGTTGCCCCACTCCCACGCCTGACTTGTCACAGCCACGCCCCCCCCCCCCTTTGCTTGTCGGGGCGTGGCTGTGACTAACGTAAACTATCCCAATATACCCTAATTTTAGCTTCACCTGATCTAGTTCACCCTCCCTACCTCGCTGTAACCTAACCTACACCTCACCTGACGGGCCACTGGGGTGTACAGAAGCATTAAATGGCTAGATGCTATCCGTCAATATTTTCGTGACGGTGGAATTCTGACCACCGGGAAATGGTTAGGTGGGATTTTCCCTTATGGGGTTTGGTCAGTTGGAATTTTGTACATACACCGTGTCTGCTGCCTGCTACCAAACACCAGCTGCTTTGTCGGAAAAAAAGACATATTCTACCGTATGAAATATAACAGCCAGGTGCTACGAATGAACCCATATATAGTATGAGCATCACACCCACACGCAGAAGACAGTTCAAACAAACACATGTTAATACATCACATAAAACACAATCATGGTAACTGTATACATTAGGTTTATTATAAAACATACTGATAATATATTACATAAACTAACAGGAAAACATAAAAAGGTATAAGTGAATACGTAAACATTAACTTGTTGTTGGGTATTGTGATAACCTGACCATGAAGGGGATGACGTTCACTATTACAAACAAGAACACCGACGGAGAAACAGGATTCACGAGTAACAGAACACCAGCAGTAAAAGTTTAAATTATCCTATACAATGCAACAGTAAACTCCGGGACCACAACACGTGATATAGTATTACTCATCCACGGGGCCACCTGTAGGGGAGTAACTCAAGGACTCAGTGTTATTCACCTGCAGTTTCCTTATACACCTTCAGGAGTACAGAAGACGAATTCAGGCGCTGGTACTCACCTATAGGGGCGTTATCCAGCAACCTGAGGTCATGGGCGGCCTGGTACCCGACTCGGTAGTTGGTGCGGGCCCCGGCGTCCCACTGGACCACCACGGTGCGGTCCGGAGTGGTGGAGGACCCGGGCCGCCCCACCTCCACCACTGTACCGGCATGGCCCGGACCTCCGTCTTGCTCCCCCCACTTCCAGTCCGGCCCACGCAACACTCTCACGCCCACCTCAACCACGCCCATCCTCGCTGCTGCGCCCACCACCTGCAAGACACAAGGACACAGGTCATCATCCCGGGACACACTAATATATTTCAGCCAATATCTGAGACACCAATTAAGACTTTTTTACTTTATTTATACACAAGAACATAATGATAAAATTAAAGAATAAACGGCTGATAATTTCCTTTTAGCTGTCAAGCATAGGCCGATAAGATGAAACGGTCAAACTCCACTTAAAGCTGATACGTTCATGCCCTTAATAATAATAATAATAATAATAATAATAATAATAATAATAATAATAATAATAACAGGTCCCAAGAACATATAACACTGAAGTGAACATAACCATTACTGACACATTAAATCTCTGATAGGAGACATATATAAGACTTACACGAATGCGGTTCAATTTAGACAATTGAGGCTGTCTGTTTTCTTCATTATTCTTATATATGCAGTTTTAAGTAGTTTTGTTCTGGTTATAAAGCAAACATTTATCAAGTATATTCCTGCACTCTGGTGAAACTTTGAGACTTAAATACCAATATCAATCAAACCTCTTGAAAGGTGAACAGATAAAGGCGCACCAAGTTGTTGATACATGGAGGTGTGAGAGAGGCCCGTAGACTAACCCAAGGACGAACCGAGCATGGACTAACCTGCCTGACAGCTTGGGGTTCATCTTACAGTCACCCATACTTCCTCACCACAGTTATCGCTCTCAACAGGATATGTGGAGCATAGTTACCCTCTTGAAGCAAATGGTCAAATAAGTCGTCATATATAATATTATAGAGCCGTTATCTTAGTTTCAGAGTAAATCCACCGTTCTAGGTTCAGTTTCCAGGAGGGTGCATCTAGGGTCAGCTGAGTAAGGCTTAGCTAAAAAATATGATTTCTGGATCAACCCCCCATTTCGAGGTTGATGCCCTTACCTGGTGACTCCAGTCAACAAGAGTCAAGTAGGGAGTGGGAGGTGGTACTATCAATACTCCAAGAACTAGGCAGACGTGCATCCCACACAAGAGCTCCCAACTGTGCAAGGAACAGTGACCCCTAACTCTCCTACACCGTACAGTGTGCCACTCACATGCACACTATATATATATATATATATATATATATATATATATATATATATATATATATATATATATATATATATATATATATATATATATATATAATCTTCTACGAAGCAATATCATGGCATACCTCGCACAAGGTACTAACATGATACTTATTTAATAAATAAATGCTACGTCGCAAGACCTCATACGTACAGTGAGAGAATGGAATATCTTCTCAGCTTTAATTGAAATATAATGAAACCTGGCGGATTATACTGGAAGAGTTACCGAGACTAAATGCGGGTGTTGAAGTGTTCAACCGTTCTGCGATATATTCGGCAATATACTTCATTCTCCCACTGTACAATGGATAAACAATCGAAAAAATCTGATCGCTGGAGTCGCTCGCAGCCACCAGCGGTCCCCAGCCTGCATCAGTCAACGTATACAGTACTATAACAGGACAACCGTGTGTCATAGGAAGGCAGTCTAATCGCTGAGTGCTAGAGGAGTGTGCTTGGTGGTCACAGGGTGAAGAAGTGTAAAATGAGATTAAAAAAAAAAGTTAGGTGACGTTATAGAGGGGGTTGTTAGGTCAGTGAGTGTGGTGGTGAGGTGAAGTTAGATAATGTTGCTCCAGGGGCTGTTAATCCGCCAAGTAAAATCTGTAGATGTGGCCTGGTGGTGGTGGCTGGGAAGGGTGTTGGTGGTGTAAGTTATTGGCGATGCAATAATGGTGTAGAGTTGGTGATGGGGAAGACCGCTTAATCATCAGGGGGGGGGGGGCAACAAAATGACTCACCTCATTCAAACATTACGTCACTAGCTTTCACCTCACATCACACCTGTACACTCAACCCATGTGGCAATATTTCACGTCGTATCATCGATCACTGACCGTAGTTTACTGTGTAGATCGTGATAATTCAGTTCAGGTCACAGTGCTAGAGTAAATCGGTGAACTATAGCCGTTGTGACTCAATGGTGATAATCATAAACAACAAAATAGCACATTTCCCTAAAATTTCTCCAGGGAGCATTACCTCCTCGAGTCATGGAGCAAGTAAACAAGAGAAAGTCACGGTGGTATGGGAGAGGCAGTTCACACCGTCGGGAAATTGGAAGAGTCAATATGGAAACGACCTGATTTCTCCTGATGATCAACTCACTACCAGACAGATGGCTTTCACATCCCCTGGAGGATTCCAGTAGTTTCAAATATCAAACATTAATGAATAAGTCATAACCAATAAAAGAACATATTACCGGTACGTGCAGAATTGATGATTCCTGAAGCAAGATACTTTGTGTAGACTTCCGACAGCTGTTTTTCAAATTCTACATCAGACAACTGCCTCCAAGGGAACATAAACATCCTCTTGTCTGTCCCAGGCTAGATCCAGCCTGATATAAAATCATCTTGTAAATGTAAACGATAGGTTGGACTATAGGCTGGGAAATTACATAGCACACTGGCCAGCAACCTGAGTCGTTCACTGGTTCAACGCAATACAACCCTGCATCTTATGTAACACCATCATCCAAAGCTACAGTGTGTGGCAGCAGCTAACGCCGTATAATTATATATGTTCCCAAAAGAAATTAGAAACACTTAGTTGGCTGTATGTCGGAGCAAGCGGTGAGCAGGTCCATACTTCACAATGGTGTACAGTAACTGGATTTAAGGAATCGATTTCCCCACATAAACAAAAGCGGATAAGAATATACGTGTTTATATTCAGCAGCAAAAACACTCGAGCCTTCTCCCTTTTCTGGATGGTTATCTTCACCCAGGTGTCTCCTTGTAAGAATGGAGAGGATTAACTAATTTTCACTTTCATTTGATATTTAGATTCCATACATGAGTTGCCCCCCCCCCCTCCCACTAGACTTAATGGCTCTAGGAAGTTGCTCGATCACAGCATAATAAGAACATAAGAACATAAAAATGGAGGAAACTGCAGCGGGCCTATTGGCCCATACTGGGCAGTCCCGTTTACACCCAACCCCTATTGCTCATATGAGCATCCAACCTATGTTTGAAGCTATCCAGCGTATTCGAGTTAATGATGATATTTGGTAACTTGTTCCATTCATCCACTACTCTGTTTCCAAACCAGTGTTTACCTATTTCACGCCTAAATCTAAATTTGTCTAATTTAAAACCATTGTTACGAGTTCGCTCCTGGTTGGATAGTTTGAGTACCTTTGTAATGTCCCCTTTGTTTAGCCCTGCCTTCCACTTATACACCTCTATCAGGTCGCCCCTCGCTCTACGTCTCTCAAGGGAGTGCAAATTAAGATGCTTTAACCTGTCTCTATACTCAAGGTTCCTAATGCCCGGGATTAGTCTTGTCATTCTCCTCTGAATTCTTTCCAAGGATTCTATATCCATTATGTAATACGGTGACCAGAACTGAACTGCGTAATCCAGGTGTGGTCTCGCAAGAGCAAGATACAGTTTTAGGATGACCTCGCTAGTCTTGTAACTAACACTCCTTTGTATGAACCCAAGTACTTTATTAGCCTTGTTACGAGCAAAAACACATTGTTTACTTGGCTTAAGGTTCCTACTTATCATGCAGTTCTCTCTGATCTGGTATCTGGTACATCTTGAGTACTTTACATTTGTCGACGTTGAATTTCATCTGCCATTTTTCAGACCATTCGAAAATTTGTTTAGATCTTCCTGTAGTTTTGCCGAGTCCTCGTCAGATTTGATAACACGTCCTATTTTAGTGTCATCAGCAAATTTACTTATGTTGCTGTCAATGCCGATATCTATGTCGTTTATGTATATAATAAATACTAATGGTCCAAGTACTGAGCCTTGGGGAACTCCACTTGTGACGTTGCTCCAATGGGACTTAGTGCCGTTAATGCTCACTCGCTGTTTCCTGTCCTGTAACCACGCCTAATCCATTTAAGGATGTCACCTTTGATGCCATGAGCTTCTACCTTTCTAATTAGTCTTTCGTGGGGGACTCTGTCGAAGGCTTTGCTAAAGTCAAGATATACCACATCATAATTGTGCCCCTCGTCCACCGATTCGAAAACTGATGAAAAGAATGTTAATAGATTAGTTAGGCAAGAACGTCCGCTTGTGAAGCCATGCTGGGAATCACTGATCAATCGGTGCTTCTCCAGGTGATTTCGAATAGAGTTTGAAATGTATAAGTCTTCAATAAATGTTACTACCTGACTATATACAGCTGGAGTAAATATAAAAGCTATTTCCTATATGAATCAAATTTTACTGTGTGACATTTTACTGTGTGAACCTTTGTTTATATACGTAATGACTAATATCCTCCAGCAAACACCAAAGAGAATACCATATGCGTACTGTACACTACGGCAAGTATTACGGCGCCATAGCTGAAATATGCTTTACAGACGCATATAAAGGTTTCCAATTCTTGTTTTATTTTCTCGAGATTCACCGAGATGTGACAGTTTACATATTCCAGTGGTATAACACATGCGAATATTTTCCACACAGATCTATATACTCTACTTACATCCAACTGAACCTTTACAAAAGTCTTCTCAACCAAAGAATGGTAGAGCTGAAACCTAACCGAAAGTGAATGAGGCAAAATGAATATCACGAGCGGCTAATAATACTACCGACTGACCTGTGAGCCCTGGGTGGTCTGGGTATCAAGGCTACGTCATCTTTAAGTCATCAAGACATGTAAAGGAGTTAGTTTCAAGACGACCACTTGGCACGTTAATCACAATACTAATGTAGCGTTCACGTGTTCAGTCCAGCACTACTACTAAATGTTCACTAGATACTGTATACTGACCCAGGATAACCGCAACCAATAAAGATATTCATTAACTAACACTAACGCCCGTGTGAACCCTTGCCTTCTAGAAAAATTCCTGGGCATGGAATTTTCCGCGCAGGACAAACACAGTCGTATGAAGCGGGGCTAACAATGCATGTTCACTGGAGCACAAACACTACAAGACTACAGTATTAGTATCGCGAGTTTTCTGCAACAATAACATTATATGTTCACTACAACAGCAGCACAATACGTTCACTACACAAATAAAAATACCTGTGACTATCATTTGACTTCCTGGACTCCAGCTTCAACAGGAACTTCTATGTCTGGGTTTGAAATAAAAGATCGTCTATAAATGGAACAATTGTCCAGACACCAAAATTATACCCACAATGACCTAGGACTTTGACCTATTGTTGCAATAATCTCTATAGGGTGCCCCCCCCCCCTTTCACCAGGATATATATTATGTCTGTGAAGTTACATAGTAACAATCTCCAGTAAACTGAAGTTATCACGTGCAGGGAACAACCTTCTTGGTTATTCACCTTCCGAACCTAATATTTACAGGGAGGTTCTTAGGGTATGATGCCTAATAATTATACAATAATGTGTCTCCTTTCGGTGACAGAAGACGACGACCAACGAACGCAACAACAACGGACAACGACATGGTCATCCCTACATGTTGCCCTTAAAATAAAATCTTAATACTGGTGATATGTGCTGCTCACACACCTGTTAATGAATGGTGAATTAATTGACTTACTTGTACTTGGTGATCAGTTGAGCGAGGAGCGGCGGTCACCAGCCACTTCTCTCATATCCTCTTAACGTTACTTGCTTCACCAAGATGGCTTCCCTCGACAACGGCTTCACCAGGTGTTGGGCTCACCAAGTTGGTTTCCTTTCACTGGTAACTTTACCAAGCTGGCCTTGTTGTAAGAGATGCTTCACCAAACCCGCTCTTTTGTGCTCGGGGCTTCTCACCGGTTTTATTGTGCTCACAACTTCATTAGACTAGCTTTGTTTTGTCCTTAGCTTCCCCAACTGGTGGTGACTTTAGTCAGTTGTTTCACTAGACAGTGCATTCATCACACTGGATTCACTAGACAGTGACTTCACTAATCTGGTTTTATTGCGTTTTGGGGACTTCACCAAACTGGTTCTTTTGTGCTTAAGTTTCACCAAATTGAAATCATCGTGCTCATGACTTAACCAAAGTGCCTCATACAACACTGGTTTGACGATATGCTCATACACAATAAAAGCTTAGCCTACAGTCACTAGTTTCAGTACAATTTAAGAAGCTAGCTTGAAAAATTTTTCTCATTTTACTGACTTGACAAGAATTCACCAAATTGACTTTTAAAAACCATCCATTACATGTCCCTGTCTCACTTCCCAACAAGGCTCTTCACTCAGCCAGCAGGGACTGGCAAGCAAATTCATCCAGAGATGAGCTTAGCCAAGACCTGCTAGCCGAGGCATTGTGAATAACTCTGACGCTTGGCCATAATGCAAGTGGTATCACATTAGGTCGCCAGCAGGAAGGATGGCGTCATCCCTCACTCGCAAACACGACACAGTGACGAGACCAGCATTCTGTAGAAGAAAACAAAAAAATACGTTAAACAAATACTAACTTGGTGCTTCTCAGCTCTGAACTCTACCACTCACCTTCTGTTTATTTGTTTTCTCTCGAATTAGTCACTTCTTGGTAAACAGCTGACCTGCCAGTTAGGTTTCATCAGAATCAGTCAACCTATTTTTGAGTCTTTAACACACACGCATTCACACAAAAGCAAAGTCAGCGAGCAGGTTATAAATTTCCAAGTCTTATTTCCTTCTACCCTTGCCCAACATGGATGACTAAGGACTCGACAATGAATACACCAACAAGTGCCCAACTACCCCATCAACAAAACCCACACGTCCTAGAAAACATTATTCAGCAATACGACTGATGACGTACAGGAAAAAAAAAACAAGAACACTGAAGAAATTTCCTTGAAGTCCCGGACAATCGACATACTTATACATTCTTCAAAATATTGTCCATAACTTTATGAACAAATTTTCACGGGAACTTACACAAGTCACTTCAAATTTTCCTGTGTGTGTGTGTGTGAGAGAGAGAGATTCAATAATGTAAGCTACGTGTTGTACTCCGCCAGGCCACGCCACTCACCCATTGTCCCCACCACATTATCGGCTTACATGAGGGCACCTCAAGATAACAACCTTATTGTTGGCGGCCGAGGCAATGAATGCTACCTTTCAGTATTTTATTTATCCCACCTCCATATTCATTTTCTTTATTCCACCATCATCACCACTCTCCTTATTCCACCTTCATCCTCATTTTCCTTATTCAACCTTCAACACCACTTTCCTTATTCCACCTTCATCTTAATTTTCCTTATTCCATCTTTATCACCACTTTCCTAATTCCACCTTCATCTTACATATCACCACTTTCCTTATTCCACCTTCACCGCCACTTTCCTTATTCCACCTTCATCACCACTTTCCTTATTCCACCTTCATTCTCCTTATTCCATCTTTATCACCACGTTCTTTTTTTTATAATTACCTTCGCAGTTTTCCTTCAAATATTACCACACTATAATCCTGAACCGAAATTATCGTCTTTTCCTCAATGTGTACCATCGACAACGAGGTCTTTCACCACCACCACCACCACCATTGGCTTCTTATATTCTTCTCCTTCTCCCCCTCATTACCATCTTTTCCTGATATACTGTACAGTACTACACCCGCGTCATTTACTTGCACTCATCTTCTCTCCTGGAAGAAGAAGAAGAAGAAGAAGAAGAAGAGACTTGCTAGTTTCTCCCCTCTTAACACCACCGCTGGCAACTCGGGGTTCTTCCTTGGCTGGATTCATCAGTCCCTATTAATTACACTCCTGTTAGTAGTAAGCAAATGTTAAACACTGATGTGATGAGATGTGTTACACTAGAAACTATTAACAGTTACATAGAGAGTTTTAAATCATGTGAATGTTTTGCTTTTACTGATTGTTCTGTACAGACAAACACAGGTAGAACAGGTTGTGCATTTGTAATATATAAAGAAAATGAGATGATAGTGTCAAACAAGCAAAGGCTGAACAACAGGACCAGCACAACACAAACTGAACTAACTGGAATCTCCTTAATTACAGATTACCTTAAAGAAAATGGAGGTGAGGTGATATTCTGTGACTCTCAAAGTGCTTTGAAATCAATGAACAGTCCATCAGGTTCTATGTCTAAAGTTGTCTGTGATATTAAAATAAATGTGATAACTGTCAATGAGAACAACTTTCGTATCGAATTTGTGTGGATTCCGTCCCATGTTGGAATTAGGTATCATGACTGTGTTGGTAGACTCACCAATGAGGCATGAAAGAAAGAAAATGGTGACCGTGACCTTGGCCTGCCCAATGCTGTACTTAAAAACATTCGAGTCAGAATCATGAACTCTGATCTAGAAGAAGTGAGAAATGCAGAGAGACCTGGCAGTTGTAGCAATCGTAAATATGACAAATTTTGTGACAAGAGGTACCGGTATGGCCAGCATAAGGTCAGAACTAGACAATGTGATATAGTTGTAGACAGAATTAGGCTAGCATACAGACACATCTGGCAAGTTAGTAACGCTGTACCCATACCGGAACACTAAGCATGTAAACTTTGTGATAAACCTTTAAAGCATACAGTTGAACACTATATTATTGAATGTGACACTGTCAAAGACTTCAGGCCACCTGGCTTATTGTATCATGAACTATGTAATTACTACATTGAATCAGGGGTGCTTGAGACATTCTTGCGGTGTATCCTAAATTTGCTAGCCCACACTGATTAGTCCTCAATTAGAATATGACGTTCAATGTATATATGAACCACTGTCCTGCGTGGCAGTGAACAGTGATATCACCCATATGACTCTGACCTACATATACTGCTAATAAATATGATGTAGTTCTTTATGTATGAACCGCTGTCCTGCGTGGCAGTGAACAGTGATATTACCTACATCACTTTGACCTATATATAATATAAATGAATAAGATCTATTTCTTTGTGTATGAACCTCTGCCCTGCGTGGTAGTGATAAGCGATAACACCCTCAGTGTCAAGACCTGACTGAATTACTCAGAATAGGCAAACTGTACTCCAAGATTTGTCAATAAATTTGTTAAACTAAGGGGTGAGCAACCAACATCGTTTACTATTCGCCTCAGCGGTAACATCGTAAACACGTCCTCAACACAACATCCTGGCACAACACCAAGCGAAAACCTCAAGATAATCATTGTTTGTTAACAGCCGCCAAGGTATTGCGCAACGACACACACACACACAGAGAGAGGCATCACCATTCACCCAAATATCCTACCATGACACAAAAATTTGCCAACCCCACTCTTCGTCAAATTGGTGTCACGCGTTACAAGGTTATACCAGCAGTGTGTGTGTGGTGGCACCTCACACGCTGACTCTATCACATTATCTCCTGGCTACTTCACCTGCTGCCATCCTCTCCCCCCGACACTCTCCTCCCCGCCCCCTCTCCATTCTCCCCTCCGCTGAGTTATACCATGTCTCACTCTCACTCCTGTTGGTTAATAATTCAGTCCCCCCTCCCCCCCATAACTATTATTTTTGTCCATTCAACCATCATACAACCCATACATTAATGTCACAGCCCTCTCATCCATCCCACATCACAAAATCTTTTCATCCACCCTACAACCTTCTCTCCTATTCCACAACCCTCTCATCCATCCCACAACCTTCTCTCCTATTCCACAACCCTCTCATCCACCCCACAACCTTCTCTCCTATTCCACAACCCTCTCATCCACCCCAACCTAGCCCCTCTCCTATTCCACACACCCTCTCATCCACCCCACAACCTTCTCTCCTATTCCACAACCCTCTCATCCTTCCACAACCTCTCATTCCAACCCATCTCACAACCTCCCAGGAAGGTTATCCGGAGCGTGTGACTAACAGAGTGCTGGGATGAAGCCACCACACACTCCATGACGCTAACACCTGATACTCTACCCCTGCTTACCTGGGGAGACACGGGGAAGTGGATAAGAAGAATAGTTGGGAGAGTGAACTAGGGGGAGAGTGGACACGGGAGAGAGTGAACTAGGGAAGAGTGAACAAGGGAGAGAGTGAACTAGAGAGAGGAAAGTGGAGAAAGTGAACGAGGGAGAGAAGAGCCTGACACGAGAAGAAAAGAATAAGATATACAGGAACAAGACGGTTGTCGAAAGTAGCTCTTGCAGGGGGGGGGGGGCACAGTACACGGGTCAGATTGGGGTCGTGAGGAGGTAATGTAGTGTTCGCTTTGTCACCAGGGCGGCCAGGGATGGTTGGGGTCAGTGACTAGCTGAGGGAGTAAGGTCACTGACAATGGAAAAGGTCTGCTTCGAGTCCATCTACATCTATCCGAGAAGAGTGGACAAGCCAGAGAAATATAATGGACACTGAAGTCACTTGAGACGAGGGTGATAATTTCAGCAGAGTGGATGGAGGTGCAGGTGCTTTCAACTGTACAAGGCAAGAAGTCATACAAGTGTTGGATTAACAAGGATGAGGGAACAACATAGGCAACGGACAGAGGGAAGCTTTAGGAGAAGTGAAAGCTTAAGTCAGAGAACATTATCGTAGGTGGGAACTCAAGATCTGACTGATTGACTGACAGAAGCGAGGGGAGATGGGAACAAAGAATAGCACAAGTATAGCTCCTCCCTGGTGGAAAAAGGCAGTACAATATAGTTGGGATTTAGGTAAGAATCTGGGTAGTCAATTGTGCAAACGTGTGTTTCTGAGAAGAGCTTATGGTTGTTGGCCGCAGTAAGGGGGTCTTCCTTTACTGTTGACTAGAGCAATAAAAACTGGCGCAAACAGGTGTTGTAAAAACGAAGTATGTCTGGTATCTTAATCGATGGTTAAAAATGGCCTCAAAGCCGTCACCTTACCGGTACCTTATACATTCCTGTTTTTTGTCAACACATTTGTTACCTAATTGTGTTTTTATGACAGGTTTGTGGGGATGTGGTTACACTTTTAGTAACTGAATCACACGCTGTAAAACAATCAATTCTGAATAAAAGTGATGTGTTAATTTGTTCTATCAAGGCGGCCCACCATACTGTGATAGCATCAGTATGTATACATGAATCTGTAATTTCACATCTGATAAAGAATTCGATTTGAAGAACATTTATATTATTCTTAATATATACATTTACCCGTATAATATACAGCAAGCACTAGAGTTCCTTGTTTCTTGTGAGTCTTGGTGAACCTCATCCACCCATCAACGTAAGTGGGACGGCTCAACGTATGATTTCCCCATATACGTAACTAAACATTCTCCTAGGCATATAGATGGCTAGTTTCCCCAAAAGATAAATACAGTTTTTCTCAAGTAACAGAGATAAATATATACACATGAAATGTTTCTCTACACTGAACAGTCAAACACAGTCTTGCTACACATGGATTCCGGATAAATAAGGTTCTTCTTGAAAGGTCTACACAACTTTCCTGGTTAGGTAATAGAGAAGGAAC